CTGAGAGACTACGCCCTGATGAACCGGAGGCACTGTCCCTAACCGATGCACCTGCATCCTCAGCATCTCCGACAGGCGGATCATCAGCCGGTCAACAGAGTTACCTTCAGCTATGGCCGTCGATGATGAACCGCAGCCCCCTCAGCCTTTCGAGTTCACATCATGATGTGCTCGAATTCGGGCCGACGATAGCTTTTAGAGATATTTCCTATTTTATCCTTTGGTTTTTATGACTTTGCATTTTTAATAGATGCGGTTCCCATTTTTTACTCTTTATTTATTATGTTAGGACTTGAGCACTGACCTATTGGGTGTATCAACAAATAGTTTCAATCACTTTCTCTATTGATTTTCTTCCTTCTTTTTGAGTCATACTTACTTAAAACGTTTTTTCCCCACTTTTTAGATTTATTTATATAATAAAAAATACCATCATAAAATTAAACACACATGGATTAATATTTCTTAGTAATTGATAACGTGTATACTTTTTATAAATAGGATTGTATATATGATAGACGGCATAATTTCGTAGATTTTGTATCGTACTTGTATCAATTGGAGTGGAATGGGTATAAGTTTAATGGGTGATAGATGGATGTGGATGTAAAAAGTCGTACACATTGTGTGTAGTGGATAGGTGATGGATTTGAGATCTTATCTATCCTACATCCGTCCGTCCCACACCGTCCCCCACTAACTATACACCATATAAATTTTAGACAGTTATGAATTTAAGTATAATTTCAAATATTATATTGTAAATATTAAGATTTTATAAGAAATGTATTGTAATTTAACCAAATATTATGGTATAAACATTTTTAGAATTGAAATATATCGTTTCTCCTATCTCAAACTAGTGGGTACATACGGGTACTAGATGAATGGTAGATATATAGTTAGGTAGCGGATATGGGGATGGTCTTGAGAGTATACTCGCGTGGGCAGATTTGGATTTAAAAATTTACCTGTCGTGGGTAAAGAGTAGGTGATAGATACAAAAATATTAGGTAGGTACGAGGGAAAGAATATCCACAACCACCATGCCCGTTTATTATCCCTACATAATTATTTAAATTTAAGATTTAAAAAAATGTTTCTTTTTATCACTTAGATTATTTAATAGGTACGAGTTCATTGTAATATTATTTTTTTAATAGACATGGATGAGTGAGTCCCATGTGGGCCATTAATTTATTATTTTTAAGCGGACTCATCAATTCGATGTGACGAGTCCAATAAAAGATTATGTTTTTATTATTGAAAAAATTAAAATTATAAATTAAAAAAAGGATAACTCGTCACCTCAAGGTGACGAGATCTTTCAAATTCAAAAAACTAGTCGTTGGTCAATGGGCAATTGTGCAATAGTCACAACGAAACTCGTCACATCGAAGTGACAAGTTCGCCCGAGTTAATTTTTTTAAAAATAAATTAATTAAAGAAAATAATAATTTTTATGAAAATAACATTGTTTACAAACTAATAAAATTTATTTATATATTCTAAGTTCTTAATGATGTCGAGAAGTGGTTGAATGATAATGGCGCGAGGCTCGTCAAGTATGTCGGGGTCGTCTGCCTTGATCATTGTCGTCATCTTCATCATCCTTGCTGAGGAGGTGTACTTAACACACTCTGAGATCCACCTTCGAAATACGGTGATGAGCTTATGGTATTTGACGTCATCATTGTTGTTACTGAATCGACTTGGCAGCTATATTGATGACCATATACGATATGATCCCATTTACTCTCTCCTGCATGTTCTGTCGAAGATGTTTGAGTGTGTTGTATTGCATCCCATGAGCCTCCAACCCAAATCGGCTAAGTCTTGGTTGAAGTATAATATGCAGGATATAAACCGAAACTAGCCTGAGATGCATAATAGTAATATTTAGTTGTATATGCAGAAGAAGAAGACATCGATGATTTCTTCTTTGACTTGGGGAATCTGGCCTGATGTTATTCTCATTCTTCCCTCTGTTGTGGTGTCGTGAGATATGGTTTCTCATTTGCTTCGTAATTTCGAAGATAAGGAGAATAGTCGAAATTTAGACCCAACGGTGTAATCTCGTAACATGGGAGAGTGATAAGTGACGTTGATTTCATAGCTCGATATAGTAAGTGTGCTTCACCGGCTAATTTTCAGAATGTTTCCCATGCGTATCAATTCTATGGGTCGCGTCCATCTCAATGATTTACATAGAAATTGGCTGATGTGACGCATATTGTCCTAGTATTCTATCACCAGCGTGCCACTTAACAATCGCAAAATGTAATAATGGTATCGCGACACACCATAAATCGGACCCCTCAAAAAATTACGGACCGGTAGATCTCGTCGTCAGCATATGAAAACCAAGAAAACTGAAAATATTAAATATCAAAGTTAATATAAATAAAGTTTATTTTTAAAAAAATAATAATAAAAGAACAAAAGTATACCGTATATCTATCGACGATGTGATCATCATCTGTATATCTTTTGTAATGGCACCCAATAACTTCGTCTTGGTTATTTTATGGCGCCAACTAAAATATTTAAAAATAGAAAAAGATTAAAAACAGATAAAAAGTAATTCAAATTTAAAAACAAAGTTAAAAAATTACCTTACAGCGAGAGGAAACTCGACTGAGGTTGTTGTAATCAGCGTAAAAAATTGGAACCGATACCAAGCCCACGATTGTAGGAATATTAGACAGATTGCTACATCAGTTTTTTGACCCCGCTCAACAATTGCAGCCTTGCAAAGCTGCCGGTATAAAAAGGCTAAAATCGCCGAGCCCCAACTGGTATTGTGACACTCAACGAAGTCATTTAATATTCGAAGATACTGAGTGTATGCCAAATTATCAGATTTATCCGATAATAATACCCCTTCGATCAGTTGGAGAAGATATGTTTGGGACGCAAAAATAACATTTTCCTCGGTAGAGTCGTTGGTCACTTGGAATTCAGACTCCAACCACGTCATTCGTACCCGATAGATATCGATGAACTCGGATGGTGACACCTTTCCCAAAACTTTGTAGACTAACCTCTGGGGTCGTAATTGTTTCGCCTCACCATGGAAACTCCGAGTTGGTAAGTGACGTATTCCAAAGTAATCGTCGCTTCACCCCACGAGAAATGGAAAATGTGCGTCTCAGGCCTTCGATCAGATCCTCAATCAATGCCAGATACACCTTGAAGCCACGTACAAATATGATTGGAAAAAGGCCGAATTGTTGAAGATATATCAACATCTGCATATGGGAATCTCTCACAGTCATCCTGCGCTAAGAATACTCCGTTCTTCTTCCGTCGGAGTTCGATCGATGAACCAGTAATTCGAATCGATTCGAATATATTCGATCATAAATACTACTCTGTTTGATTCAATCATCCAAATTGTTGAGTGGTCAAAATCAAAAATAGAAATTTTCACATAAGAAGCCATCTTTCTCTCCTATTCTTCCTCCAACCTTCACTGACATAAAAAGAATCAAACTCCGTCGATTTCTTCTTCCAGATTGTAACCTCTTTCAATGGCATGCAATGAGATGAATTCATGGACATTCACTGGCCTTGTGGGCGCTTTCCTCGACCTATCCATAGCTTATCTATTTCTCTGTGGATCAACCCTGGTTTATTTGGCTTCGAAATTTCTGGGTTTATTTGGACTCTCCTTGCCTGCTAACGGACTGTTTGGTTACCTGGAAAAGAAAAAATGTATCCAAGCCATGTTGGTTCATGATCCGTCTCTTAAAATCTCATCTGTTCAATATTCCGTAATGAAAAAAGCATCCCTTTTATGATGATGATGATGATGATGAGAAGAAGATGATTATTGGAAGAATGGCTACAAAGGAAGCTTTGGGTCGATTCAAAAGTGGAGGGGGAGGCATCGGCGATGGAAGAGAAATGCCGGCGCCGGTCATCGGGGAAATGGTTTATCTTCTGCTACTTTCAGTAAGCTCGGCAACGATGTTGACGAAGACGGCATGACTTTGGTTAATTCCGAAGGTGATCATCATTTTCATACGGTTATTGATATTTAAAACGACGTTGTTTTAGGCACTTAAGTTTAGGAGTATATCGATTTTGTCATAAATTTCTAAACGGTTCTATTTGTGGTATTGCACCTTTTTATTCGTCGTCAATAATCAATTATTATTTTTCTAGGAAATCCGCTCAAAATCAACATAAATTTATATTTAAAATTGATTTTGAATGTGTTTCGTGAAAACCAGTTCTAAGAGAAGAAAAAATAGTAAAATACAACTGTTTTGACATCAATCTTGCCACAAAAATGAAATGACCGTTGACGAGTGGTGATTGGCGGTTCGCAATAACTGAAAAGATGCAGTGCGAAACTGAAACTATTTGAAAGTTTAGTGACAATATCGATATACCCCTGAAGTTCAGTGTCTAAATCTTTATTCATAAAAAAATCGTCTCTAAAACGACGTTATTTTATCCACGTCGTCACTGTGACGAAAAGATCTGCCCACATCATCGTATCGTTAAAATTTAATAGTTCAGCGATATAATCGAAGTTAAAACCAAAGTTCAGTATTATAATTAGAGAAATTGAAAGTTAAGTGATATAAACGATAAACTTCTTAAAGTTCAGTGGTATCTAGTGTAATTTATCCCTCTTTTTATCACATTGGAACTTTATTTTACTAATGCTAATGCCACATCTAATGTGTTCATAATTGTGTGATTTTAGATGGAAGGGGAACTGCAAAAGAGATAGAATGGTCTAAGCAAGGTTTCGAGGCTTTACAAATGGAATACGACTCTTTCGCCGAGAATAAATCGATGGACGGAAACGAATTAGCGATGGCGATAAAACGATCGGCGTCATCGAACCGGGATTTCAATGGCAGTGACAAAACACGCTTAGAGTGTTAGGACAAGCTCTTGATGAGGAGCATGCTACCTGTGCTTCTCTTTACATCGAGCTCGAGAAAGAACGAAGTGCTGCCGCCTCTGCTGCGGACGAGGCTATGGCGATGATACTGCGCCTGCAAGAGGAGAAGGCGGCGATCGAGATGGAAGCTAAGCAATACCGAAGGACGATCGAGGCAAAATCTGCATACGATGCTGAAGAAATGAACATTCTCAAAGAGATCATAATAAGAAGAGAAAGGGAAAAGTATTTCTTGGAGAAGGAAGTTGAAGCTTGCGTGCAAATGTTATACGGGAACGAGCAATTGGAGGCCGATACGTATGACATCGCGGTCATGAACGAACGAGGGACGTCGAGCGAGGAGCAGGGTCCGCTTCCGATTCAGCAGTTCAGTCTACAGATTACCGAGTTAAATGAAACTGCTGGCAATGAAGCATATATGTTTCGAAGTGATGATGAGAATCTTAACCGTCAAGAAAGACATGTTGATGAGAAAAGGATTAATGCTACAGAAGAAGAAGAGGAGGAGCGATGCGGTGAATCCAATCCGGACCAACGCTTGACACCGAAAACAACTGAGCCAAATATAGTTTTCCCCTACAACAATGAAACTATGGAGAAGGGTGGAGAAGGTTTACATGGCTCGGGTTCTGGTTTCAATTGTCGTGTTCTCGATGTTCATGTCGTTAGTGGTGCATCGAACCTGGATAACAAAGAAGGTGAAAAAAGAATCGATAAGGAGCCTAAAACAAGCGATAATCAAACCATTATCGAACCTTGCAGGACAAGAAACAGTTTAGACAGATCTGAAGGGTTACCACCGCTTGGTCCTTCACAACCCAAATCTTTGCATAGAAAATCCAGGTCGGCATTCGATTACGAAAGGTCGAAAATCGACAACGAAGTCGGGTGGCTCAGAGAAAGGCTGAAGATAGTACAGCTGGGAAGAGAGAAGCTTAACTTACCTGCAGGGCACAGGGAAAAGGAACAAGTAGAGTTGCAGATATTGGAAGATATTGTGAGTCAGCTTCGCGAAGATACGGCAATTAACGGAACCGGGGAAGGCTCTGCGACAAGCATATTTGCCCCCTCTATCATCTAAGGTAATCTATTACTCTCCTGCATGATCAAACGAATTAATGTATCGCATTTAAAGACGTTTTACGCTCGTATACGTAAAGATGCTTGATCCTAGGAAAACTTGATTGCTAATAGAGCTGAATGATTTCAGGTAATATCAAAGAAAAGACATAAGCAAAGTGCTTCTTCAGGAGGGTTGAGAAGCATTTAAAAGGCCAAATGGGACATGCTGAGAAAGGAGACATGCTCAATAATCTGGTTTACTGGTTCGATTTCTGACCAGCTGATTCGAAGGTTTCGATTTAAATGTTCCACCGATCGCAATAGTAAGCTGTCTGCAATGTTTTTTTACTTGTTAGGCAAGATTTTGATGACTTTGTAACCCTGCAGGTTCCAGACAGAAATGAGCTTATGTTGACGACATAATGTAATTCCTGATTGGCATATAAATTCTACATAATAATTGTTCTTTACAGTGATCTTTAAGCATCATTATGCAATGACTCGAGTATTATTTGAATTCCGTGTTCGGGTTGAACGGTAATTACCGAGACCGGTGAGTGGACACAGGCAGGGGAGAGGGTGAAGGCGTAGCGTTGTAGAATCATGGAGAGAACAATCTTCGTTTCCGTGGTTGCGAACGTCATACTGACACAAGATCAAGGTCCGAATCCAAAAGGCAAAATGCAGCCCCGTTGTTTTCGGTAGCTTTCGCGATATCTTCTGCAAATCTCTCCGGTTTAAAAAGATGAACATCGTCTCCCCATAGTTGAGGGTCACGGTGAACCGCATTATTTAGAGCCAGAAGATCGATATTAGCAGGCAAGACCAGCTTTCCCAACTGAACTTCTCTTCCAACTTTTCTCATCAGGCCAGTCGCCGGACCGTACAATCTCTCCTGTTTTTCTCGTCCGAATCAAGATACACATTTACGAGTAATCCCAGAAAATCGTTTCCGAATCCATCGGCTTCTCCATTCACAACTCTGTCTTCTCTTTTCCTAACAATCGCCATCACAATATCTTGTATTTCTTCTGCTAGTTTTTCAGACTGCATCAAATCAGCAGGTTTCCATAACTTGCTGCACAAGCAAACCAATGTCACACAAAATTAGCATTCAGAAACTAGCTAAATCAAGGGAGAACACAGATTACAGGGAACATAATTGATGAAATGGATTCTGGTCTTGAAAATATTTCGAGTCATGATTATCGACAACTCGTCCAACATGGCGAAAATCTTCTCCCCTTCCAAGTAACTGCTACCGAAAGCTGTTCTCGAGATCACTTCCGAAGTCAATAATCGGAATTCTCGAAACACCTCGATCTCTTTACCTTCTTGGCACTCCCACTTTTCTAGCATTGTTTCAACGCTAGCAATTACTGCTGGAATCATGTTCTGCACAAACAATCCTCTAATATGTAAAAGGTTTAGCCAGAATTCCAGAAGTAGTATGATTCCCGAATAGAGATGGTCATTTCACCCGGACTCCACGGATCCGACTCTACTTGACCCGGTCGGATCAATCGTTCAGTTTAAAAATTTTTAAAGGTGTTCGGGTTTAGATTTAGGGTTAAAAACTCAACCTAACCCAACAATTGGAGCAGATACGCTAAAATTATGTAATATCGGAAGATAATGAATGTGCATCAAATTACCATATTTAACCAGTAACAATATCCCTCCAAACAATTCGAGTAGATACGCTCGGGCTACAAAAATCACCTCTTCCTCGATAGAGTTGTCTGTCACATTAAATTCGGACTCCAAACAAGTAATTCGTATATGATACCCGTCTAAAACATCTGATGGTGGCACCTTTCCCAAAACTTCGTGAACAATCCTAAATCGATCAAAATTGTTGTGCCTTACTACCACCATACCATTAACCGGAACGCCGAGTTGGTAACTGACATCTTCCAACGTAATTGTCGCTTCACCACTTGAAAAATGAAAAATATGTGTCTCCGGCCTCCAACGTTTGATGAGTGGCGTAATCAATGCCGTGTTCATCTTAAAACCATGCAAAAACGTCGTTGGATACATCCCAGATTGTTGCAAATATATAATAATCCATTCAGGCAAATCTCAAAGATTCATTCCTCTTTAATGAACGCTCCGTTCTTCATTCAGACCGAGCTCGAGCAAATAAATATGGACATCATTGAGGCGTAACATTTCATCGCTGGTAGACATTTTTCAAAAATTTTGAATAATTTTTGAACTTTTTAGACAAAACACAATAAAAAAAACTAAACCCAAAACTCATATTTATAACCCCAAACCCAATGGCAATAAACAATTATTCTTTTAAAAAATCCACGAACTTATCATCTCGAAGTGACGAGTTCTATAACGACCGTTGCAATCTGCCTGTTGTGCAATGGCTAGAAACATCTACTTTTTTAAAATTTAAAGCAAACTCATCACCTCGACGTGATGAGTTTGACAATTTTTTATTTTTAAAAACTTTAAATTATTTAATAAAGGTAAAAATAAAATATTAATTTCTAACGAGACTCATCACTTGGAGGTTATTCGTTTTGGCCTATTGGACCAATTAATTTTTCCACCTTCGGTATTTGGGGAAAAAACCTACCTTTTAAGACTAATGGATCATTTTGATTTACATTAGCATTTTAACCGATAAGTTTCAAGTTGGGGGTTTTATTTTTTATTCGATATTTGTAATAAATAATTTTTAAAAAAATTAACAATTAATAAAAAATAATTCGTTTAAGAATCAGTTTTGTTTCTATAATAGATTTAATTTATCATTTTCATTCATATGATATTTTTGTATTGATTTAACCCTCAAAATTATTTAATTGCATTATCTTTTACCTTAAATCCTAACTTAAAATCCTAAATTTAAACCCTAAACTCTAACCCAAACCCCTAACTTTAGACTCTAAACAATTGTGAAAATTTAAACATTAATGCAATTGAAATAACTTCGAGATCTGAATTGATTCTAAAATACCATAAGGATGAAAATGATTTATTAACCCAAATTATTTTCTAAAAAAAACTATTTGCAATGAATCAAACGAATTCTTATTAACAACATATTCTCCAATTGGGATGGATCGATATAAGTTTAGTGGGTAATGGGCGAGTGTGGATGTAAAAAGTCGTACTTATCATGGGTAGTGGGTATGTGATGGATTTAAGACCTTACTCGCACCGCATCCACCCGCTCGCATCTGCTTGCGCCACATCTGCTTGCCCACTAATTGCCCATCATATAAATTTTGGACTATTTTGAATTTAAGTAAAATTTTAGAGAATATTCTATAAATCTTAAGATTTTATAAGACATGACTTGTAATTTAACCAGATTTAGGGTATAGACTCAATTAATCCTTAATTTATTGTATTATACTTCTTAACGGATGTGTTTGTTTTATATTTTTTTTTGTTTAAGTAATACGTGTGGTTGCTTCCAGGCTGATATGGAATGGTACAAGCGAGTACGAGATGAGTGTTTGATATCCAGTTAGGTAGTAGATGTGGGGTGGATTTGAGAAACCCATGTGACGAGTGTGAATTTAAAAAAATTTACCCGTCGTGATAATGGGTAAATGATGATTTAAAAATATTATGCGAGTATAGAACGAAGGAAGGGATATTCGCATTCACCTCACATGTTTGACATCCCATGTTTGACATCCCTATAGGAAATATGTAGGGCGAACACACGTTGGGTTTAAGTTGAAAAAGTGTCCACCATAAATTTTAAATTTCATTTGATTAGTTATTTATTTTATTGATAATATTAATCCTAAATTTTTTTATATACATTTTATATAAAAATATTATATACACTTTCACTTGATTAGTTATCCATTTTATTAATAATATTAACCTTAATTTTTTTTATATACATTGATATAAAAATATTATGTTATTAATGTATGTATAGTCACAATAAAAATATTTCTAAATTAACTTAAGGATGACAATTTAACTCGGAACTAACAAGTTTCGACCAGATCTGATAGAGTTTGATTTCTCTAAAAATATTCGGGTTCGGATCAAATTTTTTAAGGGGTGAGATTGGTCGGGTCGAGCTCATGTGGGGGGTGAAAAAATTAATCTGACCTGACCCGTGGATAATAATGTAATTTCTTTAAAAAAATATTATTATTTTAATTAAATCATTATTTTATATCATGTCATATCGGATTTATACTCTAAATATTCGAGTCAGATCGGAGCGGAGTGAAAGATATATATTTTCTGAGTCAGATCGGATCAGATGAAAAATATAATTTTTAGGTTAGGTCATATTCAAGTTGAGAATTCATATTTTTAGGTCAAATTAGACTGCATAAACTCGACCCTAAACCGAACCACTACCATTCCTACGCTAGCCAAAGAATGTCAAATAAGAAGTGTTTTTTCACTTGAAGATCCACTGCACTGGAGAATCAAATTCAACAGAATCCAAGAGATCCAATTATAATGTACCATTCAGGCAAAAGGTTCACATGCGGCGTTTAGTATACGGTTAAAATAAATGTTACCAATTTTATTATTATTTTAAATAATAAAATCGATAAAAAATAACTGAAAATATTATTATTTTTACGATTATAATTACCAATATAAATAAATGAGATAGAGAAAATCCGACCAAAACATGTATAAAAACAAAAGAAAAGGCTGCAAGCCAAAAAGAAAACAAAGAACTCCTCCTCATTCCCTCTCTTTATCAATACATTCTCTTTTTCTTTCATCTTCTCTCTTGCTTTACCAATTTAACTCTCTTCCATGGAAGTACCGATCTCAAAACCAGCATTGTTCTTCTTCTTCCTCTCGTTGCTGGTAAACACCTCGTCGGTTGCTCGAGGGCAGAGCTGGTGCGTGGCTCGTAGCGATGCGAGCAACCAGGCCATGCAAACCGCACTCGACTACGCGTGCGGCTCCGGTGCCGACTGCAACCCGATACAGTCCGATGGGCTTTGTTTTCTTCCGAATACAATCCAGGCTCATGCTTCTTATGCTTTCAATAGCTAT